GTGGTTGGGCATCAACCCCAAAACCAGGAGGTTACAGTTCAATTCTTTGACAGGGTACATGTCCACGTTACTTACGGGCTCTATCCCAGTAAGGGACGTGTAGAGGACAACCTATCGATGATTCTCTCTCATCATCTCTCTCTCTCCCTCTCTGAAGTCAATAAGAAACAAACAAAAAGCATTTTTAAAATTTCCATATAAGTTTCTCCTTTTAATAAGCTGTAAAACCTTGGGAACCTCTTAATTCTCTGAGGTTCATTTTTCTCATCTGTAAAATAGCATAATTATAGCTACCACCTTGCATGATTCCTGCAAAGATTTCATGAAATGCTGTATGCAAAATCATGTTCACAATTCTATATATTTATGTATTTTTAGGTGAAGCTCTGTTCACCCTAATTTTGTGTCTGTGTTTTTCTTTCAGTCCTTCAACATTTCCTATGAAAGCTCTCTTTTATTAAAATATTTTTATTGATTTAGAAAGGAAGAGGGAGAGAGAGAGATAGTTACATCAATGATGAGAGAGAATCATTGATTGGCTGCCTTCTGCAAGCCCCATTCTGGAGATCGAGCTGGCACCCCGGTTATATGCCCTGACGAGGGATGAACCGTGACTTTCAGGTTCATAGGTCAACACTCAAGCACTGAGCCATGCTGGCTAAGCTAAAGTTCTCTTTTTTCCTTTGTCTCCTCATTTTTCTTGGTTTGGGCTCTCTGTCACTTTTTCCTTTTAATCAATCAACTAATCATCCATCCATTCCATCCTATTTGGATGAAAACGTTGACATCCTGACAGATGAAGTTTGACTTGCTAGATTCAGGGAGACTATTTTGGGGTAAGGTGACTTTCCGAAGAGATCATTTTCTGGGAGTCAAGACAACCCAAGAAATACTAATTGTTTATTTGGAACTGAACAGGTATTAGGAGAAAGAGGAATGGAGAAAAGTGAGAAAAGGGAGAGTAGGAGGAGGAAAGCATCCAATAAGATGGTGTGAGGAATAAGGGATGGCCAGGGATGCACATAATCCTGTGGGGGGATTTTTGGGGGGTGGGTGGGTGGGAATGGAATAAGTACATACATATAAAATCAAGGATATTTAATATCCTATTATAAGTTGTCTGGTTACTAGATGTAAACTCTCTACTAAAATCTGTGGAGTAGACATTTGGGGAAACCATGGAAAAGGGCTAACTCTTAACTCCAGATCAGGATGGTGGGACACAGGGACAACAATTAATGAACAAATTTGTTGGAAATCAGAGGTGACCATGACAATGTAACACTCTTGGAGATTCACAGACATTGCAGGAGGCCTTTGAACATCCTCTAGGGGAGATGATAGTTTGAGCTTATCTTACCTATTTGAAAGGGATGGTAACTCCAGCTGACATCTAGAAATTCAGATTAAAACATAATATGTAACAAATGCCAGCCTTATCTTCCTTAGTTTTGAGTTTCTGAAGAAAACCCATCACACAAGAGGAACCTAATAAATGTTTGTTGAGTAAATCAATTTTAGTTTTTCTTACCATTAATTTATCTCTTTTTGTTCCTATCTTACCCCACGTTTTGTCTAAGTGTTTCATAAATAACTCTTTTTAAATATTCTCTATATCCGTTTTCTCAGTAAAAGCTGGTTTTCCCTAGTGTACTCTTCCTGTACCTTTTGTTTACTTCCAATAGCTTTGTTTACCTTTTTCTTTCATTCAACCTGGTCATTTTCTAATTTTTCTTAAATTTCCCAGCAGTCATTTCTGTGTGTGTTACTGGCTCAGCTGTGTGTATGTTGTGTGTGAGTTGTATTGTTTTGTTTTGTTTTTGGCTCTTGTGGCTAGCATAGTAATCCCCATCTCCCTTTTATAGTGAAAGATTCTTGGACGGTTTACAGAAATATTCCCTTTTTCTTCACAATATTTATAAGATTCAGTTTAGAGAGAAAGAGAGAGATAGAATGTGCACTCACAAGTGCTTAGTTCTTGGAGCTCATATACTGAAGTGTTTCTATGATGTTTGGGATTTGCTTTCAAGTAATCCAGGGGGGAGAGGAACAACGAAGAGAAACTGGGAGGCTGGACACCATAGATATAATAACATTGTCCACATTCTTGTAGCTCTGTGATGGGCACCTGAAGGTTCAGTATAATTTTCAGTCAACTTTTGTGTATATTTTAAATTTTCCATTAAACGCTTAATTAAGATACGTTTATTAAGAGCTGCATGTGGGTTATTGATTGGTATAGCCATCATTTTTCTTTGGACTCAACATGAACGTTGGGTGATTTCATGACCCTCTTCCTCAGCATGTTCCCCACCCACCCATCAACCAACTCATTTCTAAACTTCCTCCTGTACTGATTTGTTGGCATGCCTACTTCCCTTTGGTCTAAGAGCGCCTGGTGGGCAGGAATGGTGTCTTTCTCCTCTTTGTGTCCCAGTGCCTAGCACAGAGTCTCTTGAAATGAAAAGAAATGAGCTAAAGAAGAGGATCTGCTAGCGAATCTGTAGCCATGCCCCTACTGACATTCCCTCTCCCAATGCCATGGCTTTTCTGGGCCTGAGAACACATCAGAGGCGGCTTATCATTGAGTGGAACCATGGCACATGCAAGGCTTATTTCTCAGGAGAGAGAAGGAATGGCCCCTTTGGCTTTCTATATATGTGGTCATGTTACCAGATAGTTCTCTTATCAGACTAATCCTTTTTCTCCTGATAAGTTCTCCAAGACAATTCCAGTTTCCATTCATATATGTTCACACTCAATTCTTTTTTTCTTTTTTTTTTGTAAAGGATTTTTGTTTGTTTGTTTGTTTTTATTATTTTTTCAAATAGATTTTATTGATTTTCCACAGAGAGGAAGGAAGAGGAATAGAGAGCTAGAAACATCGATGAGAGAGAAACATCGACCAGCTGCCTCCTGAATACACCCTGCCAGGGATGTGCCCACAACCAAAGTACATGCCCTTGACCGGAATCGAACCTGGGACCTTTCAGTCCGCAGACCAACGCTCTATCCACTGAGCCAAGCCACCACACTCAACTTCTTACTTTCCATGATTTGGTGATTTAAATGACTAAAATTGTAGACCTCAATTAATGCTGGGGTCCTCCCTGCATAGGCTCCCTTCAAGCAGCCTCTCTTCCCCTACAATACATCTTCCATCTCTGACGGAGAGGATGGTGCTTTCTTCTCTTTTTCACTTCCTTTGGGTGGTTGGCCTAATCTTACCCTCAGGAAAGTGGAATGAAGCAGTGCTGCCACCTTTGCTTCCCATTTCCTTCCTGCTTCTGTCTAGCCAAAGCTTTAACTTTCCCTTGACTTTCCTATTCTAGGCGCAGTTTACACTATCTCTTATAGTTCTACTACTTATAATCCTGTCAGTTTGTAGAGCAGCCATCCTGGCACCACCTTGCTCTCACTACTCTTTGAATGGCTTATTGCAAATCTCAATAAGCTTATTGCAAATCCAATAAGCCATTTAAAGAGTAGTCTACTTGTCTTCTCAGTATGCCACTGGAAGGTTAAACTGGAGGTCAGATGTTGTTATCCTTGTTTGACAAGGATGAGAAAGGTTGAGTAGCTTGCTTAAGGTTGGCAACTTTGGAAGGGTCCAGCTAGCATCCACGGTCAAGCTTATACTTTGCTACTTGTGGGGAAGTGGTGGCTGACTTTGAACTTCTGTGCATTTATTTGCCTCACAACACTTACCATTCTGGGATATTCCTGACCACAGTCCCTGAAGACTGGGAACTGAGATAAGTGAAAGTGGGAGGTGGTTGGGACTGTTTTATTGATTAATGCTGGCGCTGACTAAGGCTTGATATTGTCTCAAAAAACTCTCTTACTCCTGAAAAAAATCCAAACAACACAGGGGAGGAGGTAGGATGCATCATTATGACCATTGGGCCTTAGCCAGGTGCCTTTGGATTTCCAGGAATCAGAAACAGGCTTGGCACCAGGTCATACTTTAAGAGTTGTCAATCTGTAAAATAATGGATAGAGTGCTGGCCCTGTCCTTGGGTAAAAAGAAGTGCTGAATCACCGATAGCGGTATTAATTAGAGGTTTAGAATGGTGGGATTGTGAGTGGCAACTAATCTCTGTAGAAACCCTTGAGGATGCCCTTGGCTATTTGATGTGTCTGTATGTTCAATCTCTCTCTCTCTCTCTCTCTCTCTCTCTCTCTCTCTCTCTCTCTCTCTCTCTCTCTCTCTCTCTGTGTGTGTGTGTGTGTGTGTGTTGTGGAAGATAGGAGAGCTAGAGCAGGTTTGGCTGTGACAACACCTTTAACTAAAATCAACTTCTATACCCCAACCATAATATCCTGCAGCATCATAATCTATTTCTTTTTAGAAAATGAACCTCTGGGAGACCCTAATCAAATCTCCTATTGAAACTATATTTCAACTTTCCATCCTTGATTGCTTTGCAGAAGAGAATATGTTTGTAATGAATCTAATTTTTTCATCCCCCCACACACTAAGCCATGTATTAATGTGTGAAATGGGAAGACATTTCTCCTCAAGTGGAAACTTGAGCAGCTGGAGACCAACACACGGAGAAGAATACCTCCTGATGTTTGCACAGAAGATTGTTCTTCACCAAGCTCAGTGTACACTTTTCTTTAACCTTTGCCTTAGGGAACTCGCTGTGGGTGGAACAACTGAGTCAGCATCAAGGATAAGAGAGCTTGTCCAAGGAGGTAGAGTAGAGGAGTCAAGTCTTCTGGATTCTCCACTTATTCTTCAGAATTCTCCTGTAACTATCAATGGGAACTTGTCCTGGACCAAAATGAGGCCCAAGAATGCATTGCATTCACAGTTTTGGATGCTTTATTATCTAACATACAAAGAGAAGATACAAAGGATATTTTTTTTTTTTTTTTTTTTTTTTTTTTTTTTACCAAGCAAGTGCACTAAGCCTAAGGAAAGTTTTGGTCCTTTAGCTAAGCTGTCAGATGTTGGAGGCAGTTGGGTAGACGGCTGTGTTTTACGTCCCAGCTTAACATTTCCGAGGCTGCTGAATAATGTAGATCCTTCTCATTGGAGTGACCTTCTCCAGAGCAGGTCTGGGTTTTTGATGTGCCACGTGCACTATTGCTGGAAATTTATGGCTAAGCTAAATGTGAGAAGGAAAGAAAAAAAAAAAAGCACATATTGGATCTTTTTGACCATGAAGTATTAAAGTAGTAGAAAGCAATACAGTTGGTCATGGAAATTTTACAATTTTGTTCACTTCTTTGGTAGTATTGAAGAACCAATTCCAGCTCTGGGACCATAGTATGTTAACTTGGGTTTTTACTCATCTGTTTATCTCTAATTTGTAAAACTATAACATGTATCATATTAAAATAATATACATAATACATATGTTATGTCTGTTTTGAAGTGACATTTTTTACAAGTAGAAATGGTTCATTATTTCTGCATCAGTCTTCTAATATTAGCACTTATTTTGGCACCAGTATGCATGTATGAATCACTATATTCTAAGAAGCTTACGGAAACATTTGAGAAAGTCCTGCAGGGAAAGAGCCTCTCAGTTGTCAAAAGATCAGAAGTAGAGAACCTCTGTAAGAAGTTAGAAAGAGTTAGGATTATTTATTACATTGAAACATGTAAAACTTCTATTTTAAGAGGTAAAAAATGGTGTAATATTGGCTGTTTCATATGGCTCAATTTAAACAGCCTGATGAAAAGAAAACTGAGGAATGACTTACTAGCTTCAGGTACCAAAAGTTCTCATTAGTCATCTCCACAGAAGATATGTATGGGGAAACAGGCTTAAGAAGTAGATTTAAGTTAACACAGACTTTGACTATTTGACAATAAGATAAATTTCATATGGAACCGAAAAACCTTATGAAATTTACATTAAGGATGGCTTAAAATCAAAAGGACTTTGCTGCAAGGACTTCAGATATAATTTTCCTAGAGGAGAGTTTGGACCCAGTGACCTTTTGGGGCTACTCTGGTTCTTAGTTTTCATGCCATTGATACAAACATAAAGGCACATACGGATATCTTCCTTAGCAAGCAAAAAAGGAATGCCTCAGCTCGCTAGGAATTTAACTTAATCACCATTGGATGTAGATGCCCTTGCCTTGACACTCAAATTAACTAAAAGGGGAGATAAATGGATCATGACCTCACCCATCACATTGTTTATGGTTTGTTTGGACTCTCCTAAGCCAGGAAAACATAGGTGCCTTATATCTCTTCTCAAATGTCCCTGAGCTCTAGGCACACAGCATTTCTTTTCATGTGAAACTTGACACTAGAAAGTCTTTTATTCTTGGTCTTAAAAAATTAAACACACTAGAGGAATATAACCTGAAGTATTAACAATGGTTATCTCTGAAGGTTAGAATTATGGACAATTCCTAGTCTTTTTCCTTATTTTGCCTATCAGTATTTTTCTAAAATTTTTCTTTTACAATAATTAAACCCAAGGGTGGTTGATGCTAGCATTCTAGCAGAAAGGAAGAAAAATCCTTTCTAAAAAGCACTAAAGCCTTTATTTTGGTCAGACCAGTTATCATCAGGCCACATGACATGCGTTTTATAGTGCGGTAAAGGCAGAGTGCTTTGTTTTGTTTTTCTTTAAACATTAGAACCAGAAGGAAACTTAAGAGGTCACTGACTTCAGGGATTTTCTTCCAGACTGGGTGTCTTTAGCATCAACTAAAACAGATGGATTATCTCAGGCTAGCTCTAAATCACATTCAAGAGATTACAGGTAGGAAGAACAACCTGGCAAGTTACTTCAAGTCAAATGTAAATGTACGGTAAAGGGGTGGGGCTGGTGAGAAAGGAAATGAACAAGTCACTATGATATAACAGAGACCTGGGCAATTAGCCAATGTGAGATGGCCCATGATGACAAGTTGAGACTGAGGAGAGGAAGCCACAATGTTGACTGTTGTTTTTCAGGCGTGAGCGTGATGATGGGTGGAGGTGGGAAAGCAAAGCGGAAAGGAGAGAGTTTGCTGGAACACACTTAATGCTTAATGTGGCATTAATTCATCTCCAGGGTTATTTCCACAATGTAGGGCTTACATTTTTTTCTCCGTAAAATACACCCAACATATAATTCTGACCATTTTTAAGTGTATAGTTTAGTAGCATTCAATACATTCACATTGTTGTGCAACCATCACTACGTCCATCTCCAGAAATCTTCATTATACCACATGGAAACTGTGTACCTCTTGAACAATAAATCCTTATTCCTTCCTTCCTTCCCTCGCCGCTGCCAAACCACTATTGTCCATCATGGATGGCACCATTTTCCAATCTTATCAGTAGTGCACAGGGTTAGGGGTCACATTTTAACCACAGCGTTTAACTGAGGTTCTAAAAACTCTGCTCAGCTGCTTCTCAGGAGGGGATTAACCAGGTCCGAAGGAGGCAGAGACTTCCTCTGGGGCTCACTGGCCATCTCTATCTGGTTTGGGAAAGTTTCGAAGGAAAAAGAAATCAACAGGATTGAGAAGGAAGTGGAAATCAATTCAAGCAAAGATAATTGCCTTAGAGAAACTGCTCATAATTATTAAATTACAAATGAATAGGTTTTGGGGGTGGGCTGGGGCCAGTACAGGCTTCTCTAGCACCAGTTACACAGGCTGGGGCAAAAGTAGGTTCAGGGTTGTGAGTACATGAAACAGTTGATGTATTGTTATTCATTAATTATTGTATTATTTTTTCATATGAACAATTGTCAACCTACTTTTGCCACACCCTGCAAATACAACAAGAGAGTCAAGTTCACCGTCTCTGATACCCACGGCTCCAGCAGGAACATCCTAATGGCGTAGGGGGGTCTACAAAGAGTCTTCCACTAGAATGGAAACTGTAAATAAAATAGTCAATCCTTCCATGTGCTAATTCTGAGGTTTCGATTCTGTATCAGTGGGGAGAGAAAGGTTTTATTTTTCAAGTCTGAACTAGAAATAAGTAGGGAGAGCTCCACAGAGTGCCGCCTACAGCTCGCGGTGACTTCAGTCTGGCATCTCCACTGAGGGAAGCCTGGGATTCTTCATCACCCGTCTCTGTAAACTGACCGGGTTTGCAGAATGAAAGGTGTTTCCTGTCTGAGTCCTGAGGGTAAGGGAATCGAGGGTAACTCCACAAGAGAGGGAATTCAAGGCTGGCATAGGTGCGAGGACTCTGTCCTGCCGTGGCTCCACCACATAAAGGCCAACACATGGAACTTAAAAAGCAGGTCAGTAGAAACACCCACATTGAGAATTCACCTTCCTCTTGCATAACGGTGACCTCAGAACCTATATTTTTGGTTTCAAAGGAAAAGCAAAAGAAGTCTGTTCGAAGTCTCTAGGATCGGAGCCGTGAAAGAAATTCCAGATGCAGGAAAATTGGCGGCAGGTTTTGCTTTAGAGCCTGAAGTTGGGTAGTATTGCAGACGGGCAGCTCCTCCATTCCTCTTTCCTGGCTGTTAACTTCCAACGTGGCACTTAGATTTCCACACCCCGTTAAATAAAGTGCTTAAAACAAAACATTTGGTCTGAGTCGATGAAATTCAAGGCTACTCCTATGGCGATGTTCATCCAGGAACAGAGAAGTCTTTCTAGATCTGCAGATGCCTTTGATCCTCTCCTCTCCCCCAGGACCCCACACACATCTATCTCCCTCACTTGGGCATGGGTGATGCATCTGGTGGTTTGAAAAGTGGCCCCAAGTTTAACTGGGCTTCAACCTTCCGCCCCCTCCATACCATAACACTCCCGTTCTGATGTTTTAGCTGGATACTTTCATGTTGAGAGGCTTCACAACCAACGCCAAATTTAACTTCCAAAACCATCCTGAGAAGCAATAGACTTGGCGGTACCATGCTCTCTCAATCCCTGCCTTTAAACAAATTAAGTAAATGAGCAAACATAAATCTCAGAGCAGCTATGGGATTTCTAAAAGCTTAAACAATCTCTAAGGAGTAGGTGGAATGTGGTCTCAAACCAGGTCTCCCTGCTTTTCAGCCTAGAGTTTTCAAGCTTACATAACTCCTTCTTCTGCCAGGAATACCATGGTATGCGGTCTGTCACTGGGTAACAGGAATTCTGTTATTATCTAGGGCTGGAGAGGTGGGGAGGGAAGGGGAAAGGTAGTGGGGACAGAGGTCTGTGTGCAGGGAGGAATGGGGAAGATAGTGGGAGGGGAAATTCCACTTAGATTTGTACAGTTTTTTCAATCTCTCAAATCTTAAACCCTCAGTTGGTTTTGAAGTAGGTTATCCTGAGATAAACAGCATAAGGAAAGAAATGTCCTACCATGATTGAATGGTTGTTGAGATCCTATGAGTCAGGCTGTACTTTTATAGTCTTAGACTCTAAGTTCTTAAGTTGATCTGAGAATTAACATGGGTTCTTGGAACTAGGCAGAATTGTAGCGGAGGGCATGAATGAATGTTAATAAATGCAGGTATTTCTTCTGACCAATTGCATAGTGTTAGGTCTTTGTGACAGTATATTTTGTGGAAGGCATCGTTATAATACAGGTGAAAATTTATCAGCAGATGTCATTATCTTTATTGCTGTTTCTATGTCTTTTAATTTTTGGTATAAGCCATATAGTTTCTACATACTTATTTTATTTTATTTTTAAATATATTTTAATTGATTTTCAGAGAGGAAGGGAGAGGGAGAGAGAGATAGAAACATCAATGATAAGAGAGAATCATTGATTGGCTGCCTCCTGCATGCCCCACTCTGGGGATTGAGCACTCAACCCAGGCATGTGCCCTTAACTGGAATGGAACTGGGAACCCTTCAATCCATAGGCGGATGCTCCAACCAATGAGAAAAATCAGCCAGGCATACATATTTGTTTTTTTAAATTAAGGTGTAGCCCTGGCTGGTATAACTCAGTGGGTAGAATGTTGGCCCATGCACTGAAGGGTCACGGGTTTGATTTCCAGTCAAGGGCACTTTTCTGGGTTGTATGTTTGATCCCCAGCCCTGATCAGGGCATGTGTGGGATGCAATCCATCAATGTGTCTCTTTCACATCAAAGTTTCTCTCTCTCTCCCCCCTCATTCCCTCTCTCCTTTCCACTCTCTCTAAAAATCAATGGGAAAATATCCTCATGTGAGGACTAACAACAAAAAGAAAAAATTCAAAGTAGAATTTTTCTATAATATAGTAAATTATACCCCTTTTCAGTGCACAGTTTTATAAGTACATACAGTCTGTGACTGTCATCACACTCAAAAGATAGAACCATTCCACCATTCCCCACCTCAAAAAAACTCCCTCCTATCTCTTGTGGTCAACCCCTCCTCTCAGTGAAGCTCCTGACAACCACTGATTGCAGCAGATCTATCTTTTAAAAGGCATTGGTCTTTTACCCCAGTTGACCTTTATTATGAAATCCTATTACATGTCAGGTTGAATTATGGATTCAGGGAGGATTTTTCTTAGCTGTAAGGAAATATGTGGATCCCATTAACTCCCATATTTGAGATAGTCACTATGGCAATCTTGGGACTTGATTTTCTAGCCTCTTATCCTTTGCTCAGGAATCCAAATGGTGCCATATAGGATATCTGCCTGGGACTAGAAGGTCATACTTACTGAGGTCTAGTTGTGCCTGCCTCTGTGCTAGGTACTTTGCATGGGTTATATAACTTCCTTTTATTTTCACAATATCACATTGATGTGGATACTGTTAATCACATTCCCATTTACAGATGATGAAACAGAGGCACAGACAGTGAAGAAACTTGCCCAATACACACAGCTAGGGGGTGACAGAGCTGGCATATGCCCCAGGCATCTGATATCTGATGCCAGAGCCTGTGTTAGCAGTAATCTATACAGTGTTGGCCACATTCCCACCCCAGTAAACACCTCACTTCATATCCATTTGATGGAGAACCAGGCCCCCCACATTAGAAGGCTCTGTAGCTATCATCTATAATCAAGATTTCGTCTTGTATTCTCTGCCTCGTAACATCCCAGGACTTCAGATGTACCTTTTTATCTCTGCCATGAAACCATGCTACTCCCCGGAGTGCAGTGCAAACAGGTGACTGTGCCAGGCACCGTTCTGAGAGCTAACCTGTGTGAACTCATTTATTCCACACAATGAAACGGTGAAGTATATTTTCTTTCTTATCTCCATTTTACAAACAAGAAATCTGAGGCACAGAATACATAACCTGCTCAAGGTCATTCAGCTGGTAAGTGGAAGAGCTAGTGCCAGATGGGGATTCAGAGGCCTAGCACAGTTTCTGTTCTCGTCTTTTTCAGATCCCTAATGATGGCAGTAATGACAAGTCTTCCTTTTATAAGGAATGCTCAGTCCTGTCCCTTCAGCAAACGTGGGCGCAGCTGAAAGAGTGGCTCTTGCTTGCCTTATATGCAATGTATTTGTCCTCCAGAAATAAGAAAAAGACTCTCATTCAACTCACCTATGTAATTGAAAAAACTCCTGAATACAAAACCAAACCACTGTCTTTCCAGTAAGTTTTCTTAGTTTGTTTAGCTACTTAGAAGAAATCCATGATATGGAAAGAACAATAGCAATGTTCAACCACCTATTTCAACAGACTTTTTTGGACAAAGCCAGTCAGTGCCCAGCCTTCTTCCAGCCTAAAACTGTGCAACCCTCCACCACCCGCACTCGCCTCCAGTCAAACACTGCCTCACTGGAAGGCAGTGCTGGAGAGGAAGGGAAAAACTGTAGAATTCCCAATACGTGGACTGCCTTTTTATAAAAGCATGCCAATGTGTCTGGGAAATATTTGGGATGGCAAAGTAAAGTCCTGCCAATTTGGTGTCATGATTCTTTTTTTATTTTCTATCTTATTTTTTTAAATATATTTTATTGATTTTTTTTTTATAGAGAGGAAGAGAGAGGGATAGAAAGTTAGAAACATTGATGAGAGAGAATCATCAATCAGCTGCCTCCTGCACACCCCCTACTGGGGATGTGCCCACAACCAAGGTACATGTCCTTGACCAGAATTGAACCCGGGACCTTTCAGTCCGCAGGCCGATGCTCTATCCACTGAGCCAAACCGGTTTCAGCTCTATCTTATTTTTTAGATGATTTATTGAATGGACACTAGGGATTTGGGAGAAACGATTTTTCTCACCAAGACCTCTTTGTGTTCTTGAGACTGAAAGCAGACCCTTTCAAAAGGACATTGATCCTCTGAGCTGGAAAACACCTCAGTGGTCAAGGGCTCATTCACTCACACAGCCTGGTGGTTGGGGGAGTACTATCTGGGAGTATCCCATGATGCATCTCACCCACAGCTCACCTTCTCCAGTGTGTCATTCAGGGCATCCATCGTCTGTATTTTGGCAACATTCACAATGGCACTGAAAAGATGAAACGAAACTTCATACAGGACCTGAAAACTTAACCACTGGAGAGGTTAAATGATTTATACAGAAGTAGGTCTACTTGGCCTTTCAGCATCACTCTGCTTGGCTATATCTGAAAGACAAACAATCCTGCCTCCGTGTGCCCATGTGCCACGACAAGCCTTATAGGCCAACTTATTATTACTTTTGCTTTTGAACTTTTCATTGAAGTATATTCCATACGCAGAAAAGTGAACCTTTTACCAGTACGTGGCTTAGCACATATTCAGATACTTAAAACACTAGTCTAATCAGCTGCCCCTACAGATAACCACTACACTGACTTATAGCCCCATAGATTCGTTTTGACAACTCGTGAACTTCATAACATGAGTAATATAGCACAGGCTCTATTGTGTCTGGCTTCTTCCGAGGCCAGGTTATTTTGTAGGAGGGTTTCAATCAGGGACGAGCCTGCAGTACAATTTCTTGACAGAAACTCTGCGCTCACATCGTTCCTTTTTCTGGATGGTTTGTGTTGGTTGGTACACGTTATTAGAAAACAGACATAGATTGATGATGCCTAGAAACTTATTTGCCAGGGTCTATTTTTTCAAAAGCTATTCTCCAAGATGATGTAAGGGGACTGTTTGTCCATGAAGACAAGGCACTCCCATCCCGTGCACACACTCCTGGAGCAGAGGTGAGGGCAGGGGCGAACTGATGGTGCAGCTAGTGAAGCTGCGGTTGCACCTCTGCTCACTGCACAGGGAGGGCCCTGGCCATTTCTTATTATCTTTTAAAGATGGTGTGCAAGTTCCATAAGCTTTAGGTCCTACCTATTTATATCTATCACTGACAAATGGGGAGAGAGGTTGATTTTCTTGCTGTTTATGTTCTGTCATAGTCCAATTCCCATCTTTTAATGACTATTACAAAGAAATTGCTTTTAAAAATATATATATATTTTATTGATTTTTTTACAGAGAGCAAGGGGGAGGGATAGAGAGTTAGAAACATTGATCAGCTGCCTCCTGCACACCCCCTACTGGGGATGTGCCCGCAACCTAGGTACATGCCCTTGACCGGAATTAAACCTGGGACCCTTCAGTCTGCAGGACGATGCTCTCTATCCACTGAGCCAAACCGGTTTCGGCAAGAAATCACATTTTTAAAAGAGGGGTCTAATCACCATTTTATTACTCTCTAGCTAACTCCTCTTCCTTCACTGTTCAGCTGACGTTGGAATTAACAGTAAGCCCCCTTTTTCCTGAGGTGCAGAGAAATAGGTCTTGTCCACTGGCTGCCAACTAGAAGGTCATTTCCAAGCTATGACCCCAGTTGCTGAGCCCATGACCCAGGTGCGCTACATAAACAGGGCTTATGCTTAAGTCAGAAAGAGTCCACTTTCCAAATCAATCAGCTTGCGATTCAACAACCACATATTATCATCCACAGAGTGCTCTCTCCATTCTAGGTGCTGGTCCCCATGCTGGGTCATCAGAGAGGACTCACAGTGTCGCTTTCTTATGTGATGGCTACTTTCTGGATTCGGGAGAAACAAATACTGCTAAAGGCGCTAGTGAGCATTTTATTTTAATGTAGAAAAGATCCTCAAACAATCTCCTCCACAGAAATCAGAAAGGAAACTTTAAAAGTGATCTAAAAATGTGTTATATGAAAGAGGCAGAGACAGTCCATCATCTATGTCCCTCCCTATTCTCCTTCTGAGACTGTTGCCATTTTACCTCTTAAGGAGGTACCTTGGGCATCTAATCAGCTCCTTTCAAATACTCACCAACTCCTCTATGGAAACCACCTTGAAATAGTCTCTGAAGTACCATCATTATATTACTTGGAGGAGTCAGTTCCACATGTTTTCCTTCACTAAGGCATAGAGTGACTGGGCCGTGTGCGTGTCTGCTCCAGCCACAGCTTTCTGCTTAGCTCTAGGAATAGTGCAGCCTGTCAAGGTCACGGTGGAACGGGCAGGGCGAAACCAGCCTCAGTATCTTATAGGCCCTCCTGCTGTGCCAAATATAGAAGTCATGAATGGTTTCTAAATAATTGAGGGATGCATTCAAAACAACAACTAAAAAGCATTTATTTTTAATTCAGGAGATTTGCTTCAGCAGAAAGCATACTATGAAAACAGGGCAGCCTAGGGACACTATTTTAAAGGCTAATGTGAAGATAGGATAAAGGGATGTGCATCAGGTTTGAATGCATTTAGGATTCTGTCATTTAAGTACAAGACAGCTGGGCTGGACTCCGAGAGTGGGAGAATGAAAGGGTGGGATTAGTTATGGGGTCCCAGAAAGAATTCTACAGAAGGTAGCCACCTCCAGTCTGCATCACCACTGATCCTGACCCCCACCACACCCCACCTTAGCGGCTGTCTGTAACCCTGGTTAGCAAAAGCCTAGGGAAGGCCTCTGACTTCTGGAAGGAGAGTCACTGAAAACTCCTCGAGGTGACAGGAAAAAAAATCAAGCAGTGCCCTACCTTGTTTTCTCAGGTCCTGCTTTTTTAGTGTGTCGCTCCAAGACGCCAATTTCTTGTCTTTTGGAAATTCGTTTCCCTCCAGCTTTGACTATAAACAAATAAGCATCAATATGAGAGTCAGGGTTAGGACAGCAAGAGAAGGCATGATTTGTTATTCAAGGTATGCCTTTAGATTTGGGGGAAATTTTAGAATTTATTTTTTAGTTTATTTAAAAAATATTTTTATTGATTTCAGAGGAAGGGAGAGGGAGAGATAGAAACATCAAAGATGAAAGAGAATCAGTGACTGGCTGCCTCCTGCACACCCCCTACTGGGGATTGAGCACTAAACCCGGTTATGTGTCCTGAGCTGAATCAAACCGTGACCTCCTGGTTCATAGGTCGATGCTCAACCAGGCTAGAACTTATTTTTTAAAGATCTAAACTTTCATCTAAAGCAAAGAAAATAAAAAAGTTACCCTGGAACTGAATAAAGATAAGAAAAAAGATGTTTTGTGCAAACAAAGTGGGGAGAAGAAGTGCTGAGGTCTGCTTGTTTATGTTCAGGGAGCTTTCCAAGGCAGCAGGTACATCTTCCATTTGGGGAGATGAATAACAACTCACTCCTTTAGGCATTTCACTGAAAAACATTTTTTCTTGTTATCAAACCAATTACACTCTTCATGATAGCAAATGACAATTACAATGTGGCCCTCCTGTTCTCCCACAAGATTAAAGTTTGTGCAAGGCTTGCATTTTTCTTTTTTCAACCAAAAGCCAGATTCTGAGAATGAGCCAAACGTGAGGGCGGTGGTGATAACAGAGATGCTTCTGATCCCAGCATACACCCACCTTTCATCTCAGACCCCAAACCTGGGATGTTGGCCAAGCTCAGATTTTGTAGTGAGCAACTAAAATGCATTAGTCATCCTACCATTCAATAGATCAATTAGTGTTAATCAGGCTACAGATGACCTAACAGCAGTTCAAGTGTTTAACAATGTCAGATGAAATCAACTTTTTAAAGGAATGACCCATTTCAGAATGCAAGTCAAAGCAAATACTTTTTTCTGTTCCCAGGAAATTTGCTCATCTGAAATCTGACAAGCTCAACTGAGAAAAAGCTAAACAGACATTGATTCGTTTGAACCTATTAATCCTTTTTATGGGAATGTCAAATGGACAGTTTTCTAAAACTAGCTCCAATAAACTGAAAAATAAGGAAAATTGTTTCTCCATGCCTTTGTGAACTGACTTAGTCATTGCTCTTTTAAAATGATTGCTTAATTTATTGCTTTGATTCTAATACATACATAAAGCACACAATTCAAAGAGCATGAAAAGGTCTGTAGTCTCCCTCATACCATTATTTCCCTCCCCTTGGTTCATCTCTCTAAATACTGCTGTTACAAGTTTCCCATGTATTCATCCACAAGTATTCTATATGTCTACTTACATGTTATTATTTTTTAAATGGTAACATAAGGTACACATTGGTCTGCACCTTATCTGTTTATATATTTCTTCAATTATATGTAATACACATATAGAAGTGTATCTTCCTTTTTAACATTTCATTATAGGAACATTCTGTGTTTACTTAGCCAATTCCCAAATGTTAAGACATTTCAGATGTTTCTAATCCATTGCTATTACAAACAATGTTACAATGACTATCCTTTCATATATACAGAATTTTGCACAAGTGCAAGGTCAATGGGGAAAAAAGGAGACATATGTACTACTACTTAGAGTACTTTAAACAATAAAATAAAAATTTTTAAAAATGCAAGTATATCCATGGGATAAATTCCTACAAGTGATCTTGTTAGTTCTCAAGAATATAAATTTGGAATTTGGTTAAATCTTGCCAAATTGCCCTTCCCAGAACTTGCACCAGTGTACAATCTCACCAGCCACAATGTTAGCAATTGTCTCCCCAAGACCCTTGCAACCATGTGAGCTAGAAAACAATTGACTTTGCAATCAATAAGTCTTTTTAAAAATGGTATCTCATTATTTTATTTGCATTTCTTATATTTTATTAAAGGTTGAGTTTGTTTCTGTGATTAAAAGCCATTTATATTTTCTTTTTATGAACTGTTGAAATTCTTTTTTTTTCTAATGTTTTTATTGATTCACTAGAGGCCTAGTGCATGAATTCATGCACTAGTGGGTTCACTTGGCCTGGTCTGCAGGATCAGGCCAAAACAGGCTCCTCTGAGGGGTCTTGGATTGTGAGAGGGCACAGGCCAGGTTGAGGGAGACCATTGGTGCATGATCAGGGCTAGGGAGGGATGCGGGAGGTTGGCCAGCCGGGGAGGGACCACAGGAGGGCTCCAGGGCATGTCCAGCCCCAGTCCTGATTGGCTGGACTCCAGCAGCAAGCTAACCTACCAGTTGGAGTGTCTGCCCCCTGGTGGCCAGTGCATGTCATAGTGAAGGGGTGAGTGGCCTTAGCATATCATTAGCATATTACACTTTGATTGATTGAACAGATGACTGGATGACCAGACACTTAGCATATTAGGCTTTTATTATATAGTATATAAACTGTTTATCTATGAGGTTTATCACAAATATAAAATATTTTGCCATTTTCTGCCATTTTTGTTGTTTTTGCAGTCAACAATTTTCTGTTTTTGTCAACCCCTTATGGGTTTTGTATAACTAAGGAATTCCTGAATGTGATGTTTTATAAATATTATTCTGTATTTTCTTCTAGAACTTTTATGGTTTCATTTTACACAATCAAACTTTGATGCTATATTTAAATCCTTGACCTTTCTAGAATGTATTTTGTGTAAGTCATGTGGAGGCATAATAGATTTTTTTAGATTATCCTGATAATACTTTTAAAAATTCATATTTTATCTATTAATTTGAAATGCCATCTTTATCATATACTAAGTACTCATGTATATGTGTGTATATATTACATGTGTATACATTTATACACACATGTGTATACATACATACATGTGTATACATATACACACATGTGAACACATATTACAGTGACTATATCTGGACTTGTGTTTCATTAATCTCTCTGTCCATTCATATGCCATTATATCTCTATTTAAATTATTGTAGAATACTTTAATACCTGACAAAGTTAGTCCTTCTTTGTTTTATTTCCTTTGCAAAATATTACTAGCTATTCTTATTTATTTTTCCATATGAACTTTAGAACCAATTTAATAATTTCCTATAAAAATTTTAATGGTATTATTTTTAAAGATCTTGCTTTAAATTTATAGATTTTTAGATAATATCTTTTTTTATTTTATTGATTTTGTACAGAGAGGCAGAGAGAGAGATAGAGTTAGAAACATCGATGAGAGAGTCATTGATCAACTGCCTCTTGCACACCCCCCACTGGGGATATGCCCGAGACCAAGGTACATGCCCTTGACCAGAATCGAACCCAGGATCCTTCAGTCCCCAAGCCGACGCTCTATCCATTGAGCCAAATCGGTTTCGGCTAAATTTATAGATTTTTAAAGAGGAAAACTTTGTATCTTTATATTCCTGGTAGCTCTCTGTTAAAAAATATGGTATTTTTTTTATTGTTTATATCTTCCTTTGAGTCCCTTAGCAACTTGTTCACATAATCTCACACATTTATTATTAGATTTATTCCCTAAGCATTTTATCTTCATTGTTGCCGTTGTTATTATAAATGAGGTCTAGTTTTCTGTAATAACTTTAACGGACTGTTGTCCTTATATTACTATTATTGATTTTTATACCTAAATCTTATTAAATTCTCTTATTGTTTATAATGGTTTTAAATTGATTCTTAAGCTTTCCAGGTTTAAAAATGATTAACATTAAAAGAATTATATTAGTTTCTCCAAAATAATGTTTAAAAGTGGTGATAGTGGACATCTTTGTTACCCTAATTTTTAAAGAATTGCTTTTGGCATTTTCCTATTAAGTGTAATGTGCACTTAGAAGGCTATATACATGAGAAGTAAATACATATATTTTCACAAATATATTATTTCATCATGTTAAGGAAATATCTTTCTAGTACTGTTTCATTGCATTTAAAAATTACAAATACATATTGTATTTTATCAAATGCCTTTTTAGCATAAACAGACATCATGATTTTTTCTGCTTATTGTTAACTAGGCCCAATGCACAAAATTCATGCAAGAGTAGGCCTTCCTTCCCCTGACTGCTGACACGGGCTTCCCTCTGGCACCCGGGATCCCGGCTTCCCTTGTAGCTCAGGCTTCATCCAGAAGGTCATCGGAAAGGCCATCCAGTCTAGTTAGCATATTGTGCTTTTATTATTATATATCGTATTAATTATATGAATATTTTATGTGAAACCATTCTTGTATTCATAGAATAAACTCTATTTGGTCATTTTGAGTCACCAACTTGGTTTTTTTAATTGATTATAAAAACTTCTCACTAGGATTTTGTAGTGTTAGATGCAGTCTAGTGCAAATTGTTATTGTAAAATAAACAACAATTAAAATGAGAATTTAAAATGCTGAGTTTTGTGCCACTCGATTGAAAGGACACTGGCAAACCAGATTGTCCAGAGGAGAGTGACCAGAGTGGAGAAGGGAGGAGGTCACAGGAGGCCCTAGGGAACTGGGAGAGATTGCTTCTGAAGGAGCAATGATGCAAAGCTCATGGCATCTTCAAAGATCTGAAGGGTTGTCATGTGGGATGAGGAAAGGTTTCTTGGTGAGGAAATGTTATATGGGGTCCAAGAGCTCTACACTTCCCGAACTCTGTGACCTTGAGCAAGATGCTAAACCCCTCTGAGGCTCAGTTTCTGCATCCTTCAAAAGGGAATAATACCGATTGTTCAGGTTGTCCTAGAGAATGGAAGTGACATAAGCACCTGGTACATGGTAGGTACAGCATAATATGTTATTAGTATATTGCCTTTTGAACCTCCATAAAAGGATAAACTGGAATTGGGTGATGTGAAATATGAACTGATTTGACATTTTAACAGGCCTTTGAATATGAATACATAACACATAAGCACAATAAACTAGAGAGCAAACATGTAAAAGAGAGAGACACTCTTATGGATAGTTTCATTAGAAAATAAAATTTATGTGGAGAAAATGACAAGTCCTGCAACCCCGCTGACTTCAGTTTGCTCCTCTGTGGAGGAGGAGGATGGTCTATGGTCCGTCTGCAGGGATGTTGCCCTGTCTAGGAGGTTCTGTGCACAGTCAGTGTTGGGTGAATGCGGTTGTTCTCTTGTCCTTGTGGTCATCAAACCCCGTCCCCATGATGCCTGGGAAAGTGGGTCTCCCAGCCTCTCTCTCAAACCTCACAGATGAAACCCCATAAGTTGACTTGAGCAGATTGAAGTTGAGAGAATTAAGCCTTTGCCCCTTTTTTTGTTAATGGTGCTGGCCCTTATGCAGCTATGGCTTCCCCCACTTTCTGCATTAGTTTCACACTTGGGGATCTGATCCCCAAACTTCATTTTCTCTCTTTCTCTTAATATGTTTTTATTTATTTCAGAGAGGAAGGGAGAGGGAAAGAGACAGAAACATCAATGATGAGAGAACCATTGATTGGCTACCTCCTTGTATACCCCACACTGGGGATTAAGCCTACAACCCAGGCAAGTGTTCTGACCAGGAATTGAACCATGACCTCCTGGTTCATAGATTGACACTCTGAGCCACACTGGCCGGCCGTTCTCTCTTTAATGATCCATAAAATGGATTCTCTCTGGGGTTCTGTGGTATCCTCTCTGATGGCTCTGATTCATTTGACTAAAACTGAATTAAAAAGTGCAGGGAATATACAGAAAAACTCATGAACTCCTGCTCTTTCTAGTTCATTACCTATGTATTTGGCTTCCTCGGTCACCTTCTACACACACATTTTGGGCTGTTCACTGTGATGAGATTCTTATAAAACTGAGAGCGAGGCAAATAAAAAGCAGAAGCTTACTAGCGCCCAGGTCAGCTCATGTTTAATGTAGTCTTGTGTCACAGCATAAATTTATAGTCACGGCTAATGGAGCTGCAATATATTCTATTAATATACATGAAAGAAAAACTGCTAAGCACTCCACATGAAGGTGGGTAAGAGTTACCGCTGGTGGACTTTTGAGTGGTTTCATTTTTAACTGCGATGGGGCGGGCATGTGTATATTTTCTATGCATTTTCCTTATTCTGCCTACTGCAATAGTACCCAACACAGCAGCCCTCAGAAATCTGATGACTTTTGATTGGCTATGTGTTTTATGAGGCCTGCATTTGATGGGGATTAACATTCATGTGCTTGGTACCTTAAAGAGGTTATCACCTTTCATCACCATCACAACCTTAAAATACCCATGTTAGTTATTGTTGCCTGTTTTAGAGGCGAGAAAACTAATGCTCATAGATGCGGAATGAAAGCAAGGTTTAAACCCACATCTGTCCAGTTCCGAAGGCCATTCAAATCCTTCCCGTCATATTGTTCCTGCTTCCCACTTTCCGGGATCTGTAAATTGCTTATTAAAAATCAGGTGAAGCCCTAACTGGTTTGGCTCAGTGGATGGAGCATTGTCCTGCGGATTGAAGGGTGCAGGGTTCGATTCTGGTCAAGGGTATATACCTTGGTTGAGGGCACATCCCCAGTAATGGGTGTGCAGGAGGTGGCTGATTAGTGTTTCTCTCTCATCATTGATATTTCTAGCTCTCTATCCCTCCCCCTTCCTCTCTGTAAAAAATCAATAAAATATATTTTAAAAAATAAAATAAAAACCAGGTGACGATTTGATGGAATTCTGGTGATGAATTATTGTTATTTAGTAAATAAAATTGTGCACCATCGAAAACCGGTTTAGACTTCAAATAGGTAACAAGAACAGAGAAAGGAGGAGGCTTCCTTGTTCCCTTGCTCTCAGTGGGGAGGCAAAAGTCTGCCTTCATCTCCATTCTAATTACCCCAAACCTCTTATCTGTAGTGTCACAGTTCATAATAATTAATTGTCATGCTGGAGGCATTGTGACATGCTTGATGGATTCCCGGTGTGCTCTGTACACAGAGTAATTAGCAGTCATTAGTGGTGAGGACAGGAAGTTCTTGGTGGCTTCATCCGAATGCTCATTTGGTTGGGTTTATCTCGGTGTCCTTCGTGCATGAATATAATTCAGTAAATCAGGCTTTGGCTTAACTGTTTGATGAAGGATTGAGGTGGAAGTGGTGAGAAGAGAAGGGTGGATTTTTTGTGGTTTGTTTTGTTTTGTTTTGTTTTTTGTCATCATCTGTTGCGATGACTTCTCTTCTAATAATTAGCATTTATCGTTCCTGACCATTAGGTAGTAACATTAACTTTAAATATAGTGTTAAACACTGCTAAATCCAATTCAATATTAAGTGTCAGGAATCTGTCACAGGAGAACAGGGCATGGAGCCCAGAACTGGAAATGAGTGAAAATTCCGACTCTCTCAGCAAGGTTGCTCACCAGAAAACCACTGATCCTCCGAGTCAGTATATCAACTTGGCAGAGGTTATTCCCGCCATCCTCTGCAGCACAGATGACTGAAATAACCTTGGCTTAGAGGTGCCAAGTTAGACCAATAAGTACATTTTGCAAATGGGGAAAGGAAAGGAGAAGGCAGGCAGTTGAAAGAACATAAAACTGGCTAAAAATAGGCCTACATGGTTCAGTCAACTCAGTCAATCTAGATGAACATACGGTTAAGTACAATAAAACTCATTTCCATATTCCAGAGAGTTGATATGAGTAGCACACATTTAAAATGGTAGGGGGGAGGGAATGAGGGAGAGAGAAAAGAGAGGAAGGGAGGGAGGGAGAAAGAAAGAGAGAGAGAGAGAGAGAGAGAGAGCGAGTGAGCTAACTGTGGATGCTTTGCAAAACACCTTGATATCTATGGTTTCCAGGCAGCCCCCTCCAGTGTCTGAGTTCTTATTAGAAAGTGCTCCTCAGCGTGTTGACAGGCAAATACAACACGGATACCACCGCCCAACCCAAATGCCTGAGGAGGAAGAGACTGCGGTTGCTGTCCTTGCTGTGGAAGCTGGTTTGCCAGGCTATGCTATGAAGTCAGATGTCGTACAGTATCTTGGGGAGCCTGAGTCTCAGAGCTGGAACCTCTAAGGAGGAGGTTTCCATGGCAATAAATCACCTTGCAGGGAGGAAAGGGCCACCCTTGCTACCTATCTCTTTCCACAAGCACCCCATCCCTTGTCCTCTCACATATCATCAAGTTTTAATTGATCCGGGGCCTGACGAATCCCCAGGTGGTTTACACACAAGCCCAGAGAGATCAAAGGCACAGGAGGAAGTCAGGCTGCTTGAAGTTAAGAGTAACAATGGGAACCTCTGCTCTGCTGGGCGCCTCTGTTGAAGGCATGGATGGCAGGGCAGCAGCACTGAGGCCCTTGCTACTTACAGGACAGAGGGCAGGTGGGCAGCCTACCTGCGGGAGGATGCCCCCCTTTCCGCGGGGAGGGCAGGGCTTGCACTTCATTTGCCATAGCGAGTGCCAGTGCAGGTGCGGGTGCAGATGCTGGTGCCGGTGCTCCAGAGGCCCTGCCAGCTGTGGCTGCCCCACTGCACCCCGGCTTTATACAGGCTGGGGGCGGGGCCCCTTCAGGGCGTTGCTGAGCAGCAACAGGGCTTGTCACCCAGCTCTCTGGGAACCTGCATCTCCTTGGCAAGCTTTCTCCTAGAAGGAAACTTTCTTCTATTATAAATTTCCTCCATCCGAGAGGGCAGGGTAGATGGCTAAGGGGACTCTAATTTTCTTTCACAAAAGGGAGGAGAGAGGACGAAGTTCCATGGAAAACTTTTCTCTCTAACTATTCATCCATCAAAGATACATGGAGAAGCTACAGCATGACGGGCTGTTTGTCACATACCGGCATGACAAGGAGGGGAAGACTAGGATCTTTGCCTGGAGACATCTGTAATCTTTTTGAAGACACAATTATAAAACAAAGTGCTATGCTTTAGTCCCAGGCTCTGCAACTGTAAGCATTTATACTAAGGAAATGATTGGAGATGTTAAACAACGATGTAAACAAGAATGGTAATCATATGTTTCTTATTTTAATTGTCATTGGAATCAACATAAACATCCCCAAATAGAGATAGTTAAAGAAAATATAGCCAGCCATGAGAGTACACAATTACAAGGCATGCTTTAAAATACTAATGATGTGAAAAAATATTTATAATAAGATAGTGGAAAAGCAGGCTAGAAACCAATAGGTGCCAATTTTGTTAAAAAAGACAAAGTATGAACTTGAGCATTATTGTATCTCCTGTGCTGCTCAACGTTTAGCCAATGGCGGGTACTTCTCTTTGTTCTTGAATATAATTAAGTTCTGTTCTTCAAAAAACATTGTTACAAAAATGAAGACCAGGTGCAAACTGGGAGAAAATATTAATAAAACACATTTCTGATAATAAAAACCAAACTTAAAAATAAGCAAAATAGTGTCCAGGGCCAGTGTGGCTCATTTGGATAAGCATCATCCCATGCACTAAAAGGTCATTGGTTCAACTCATTGATTTTTATTGATTTAAAAAGTAATACAAAAAAACAACACAAAAAACCTGTGAAAAATAATAAAAATCAACAGGGTTTTTTTTTTTGTATTACTTTTTATATCAGTAAAAAAATCAATGAGACATCAAAAACAAAGACAATAAAAGCAAAAATAAACAAGTAAGATTACATCAAACTAAAAAGCTTCCATACAGCAAAAGAAATCATTAATAAAATGAAAAGGAAGCCTAATGAATGGGAGAAAATATTTGCAAACCATGTATCTGATAAACTATTAATATCCAAATTATATAAGGAATTCATATAGCTCAATAGCCCAAAACAAATAAAGTGATTTTTTTTTAAATGGGCAGGGCAAAAAAAACTTTTTTTTAATTAAAAAATTTTTTAAAAAAATAAATGGGCAGGAGCCCTAACTAGTTTGGCTCAGTGGATAGATCGTCAGCCTGTGGACTGAAGGGTCCCAGGTTTGATTCCAGTCAAGGGCATGTATAGGATAACAGACAGTGTCTGTTACTTCTTTTAATAAAAAACATTGAGCCCTAACTGGTTTGGCTCAATAGATAAGAGTGTCAGCCAGCGGACGGAAGGGTCCTAGGTTTGACTCCAGTCAAGGACATGTATCTTGGTTGTAGGCACATCGCCAGTGAGGAGTGTGCAGGAGGCAGCTGATAAATGTTTCTCTGTCATCAATGTTCTAACTCTCTATCCCTCTCCCTTCTTCTCTGTAAAAAAGCAATAAAATATATATATTTTTTAAATGGGCAGGGAACTGAATAAATGGTTTTCCAAAAAAGACTTACAGATGATCAATAGGTGCATGCATGAAAAGGTATACAATATCACTTTAATCAGGGAAATGCAAATCAAAACTACAATGAAATATCACCTGTTAGAATGACTGGTTTATAAAAAAACAAAAGACAAGAAATACCCTTCTCTCTCCTCAGCTCCAAGGCCCCTTCTTTTGCCTCTATAACTTGTTTCCTGAGTTCATTTCTTCGACTGCTCAATTCTCCCACTTCTACTACTTTCTAAATAAGCTTTCTCTTAGAAATAACAATTGTTGGAAATAACTTCTTTTTCTGTTAAAGAAAAAGAAACCTTTGTGCGCTGTTGGGGGAAATGTACACTAACAGGAAAAGATATATGCCCCCATGTTCATTGCAGCATTATTTACAACGAGAGGCCCAATGCATGAAATTCTTGCAGGAGGAGGCCTTCCTTCCCCTGGCTGCCGACACCAGCTTCCCTCTGGCACCCGGGACCCAGGCTGGCTTCCCTCTGGCTACTGGCAGGCACCTGGGACCCAGGCTTTCCTTGGAGCCGAGCTTTGTTTGGAAGAACTTCCTGTCTAATTAGCATATTATGCTTTTATTATTATTGATAGCCAAAATATGGAAGTAAATTAAGTATCCATTAATGGATAAATGGATAAAGAAATTGTGGTACATATATACAATGGAATATTATATAGCCATAAAAAGAAAAAAATATCATGCCATTTATGACAACATGGATGGACCTTGAGAACATAATGCTAATTGAAGTAAGTCAGGCAGATAAAGACAAATACCATATAATCTCATTTATATATGGAATGTACAAAATCTCCTCATATATACAGAGAACAGATAGGTGGTTGCCAGAGGCAGGGGTTGGGGAGTGGACAAAATGGGTGAAGGTAGTCAAGAGGTACAAACTCCTGGTTATAAAATAAGCCACGGGATGTAACAACCAGAATGGTGATTCTAGTCAATAATACTGTGTTGTTTAGTTGAAAGTTTCTAAAAAGAGTAGATCATAAAAGTTCTCATCACCAGAAAATATTTTAAAATTATATGTGATAATTCTATTAACTAGACTTATTGTGATGATCATTTTACATTATATACAAATATGAAATCATTACATTGTACACCTAAAACGAATGTGATATTATATATCAATTATATCTCAATTAAAACAATAAAAACATTTTTTGGGGGGGGGAATGTATTAAAGTGCTATGACTAAGATAAGTAGCTACCATGGGAGCAAAGAGAAAGAATAATCATATTATTTGTATGTCTTGCATAGCCCAGGACTAGGAGCTGGGGTTAGAGGTGACACAAAACACCATTCCTGCTTTCAGCAAATCTCACAGTCATATAAGGGTTGTTGAGGGTGACATGAGAAGGATAAGAGAATACCTTCTATGATTAAAAAGGTTTATAATAATAATGATCCACAGGAATTTCTTTGATGATGAAATGTTCTATGTCTTCTCTGACCAATATGGTAGCCACAAGCTACATGTGATCTGAGCATTGCAATGTGGCTGGTACAACCAAGGAACTGAGTTTTTAATTGCAATTAACTTAAATATAATAGCTACACATGGTCTGTGGCTACTGTGTTGATGACAGGTGTCTGTAACATAAAACCTAGTTGTGTGATGGCTTGTTGCCAAGATCTCATCGATTACCCTCTATAACTGCCTATTGCAGAAGGTGAGGAGGGCATCAAAGGGCAAACCACCCCTTAGGAGAAATACAGAGGGTGCAAATCATTAGAATCCACAGGGCATCCCCTCTCTATTCCACACCTCCTAACCCTATATATTTAACATGAGCTTCACAGACTAATACATACACAGCATGTTCACTTTTGTTTTTCTAATTACCTCAAAATGGAAAATATCTACATTGTAATAGCATAACTCTAAATCTACACTAATAAAAGAGAAACATGCAAATTGACCGTATCTTCTCAACGCCTGCCAGCCAATCAAGAATGAGCATGCAAATTAACCTGACAAAGATGGCGACAGCCCCATCCCCCAGCCACTCCAGTCTTCTGGGCAGTTCAAAAAAGGCCTATTGCACAAATCTCTTCAGGAAATGGGCCTCTAGTAGGGATATAATAAAAGAATGGCATAATTTACAAAGAAACAAAGAGCTCGCTTAACTGTAGAAATGGGAGAGGACTATGGGGAACAGGGAACATGAGGCCTATGTGTTTTTCTTCTGGTGGCCCCTTCCCCACTCTGCTTCCATCTCTGCTTCCACAGAAGTCTCCATCCTGACTTCTTTGGTGCATGTGCTCCACCACAAGGAAGCCCCTTGGTGGAGGGAGTGGGGGTGGGTGGGTCTTCCATGCCCTGTCTCACGTGAGTCATTAAAAACCCTGGCCTGCTGTGTGCACTGTGAGGTGAGTGGAGCCTGGGTTGTTTATTCTGAGGATGTACGATAGCCTCCATCAGGATGAAAGTCTCAACCAAGGGAGGCAACATGTTATTACCCGTTAAGTGGGCTTATAAGGCTCATTTTAAGAGAGTCATTTGTCTAGTTAACTGCAGTGGGAGAGTTGTTCGTGCTAGGACCAAAGTATGTGGAATTGTGCTGAGTAATGCTAAGAGCCTAGTAAAATGGCTTCTCACGACACTGAGCTTGCCAAATGGCCTTTTGTTTTTTTAAATGAAAGGACAATATAACATGAAAGACATTAATAATATTTCAAAGTGATACCCAACTTTCATTAAAGTACTCTCTTCTTTTAGTTTGTGTGTGTGTGTGTTGGGGAAGGGCGGGCATTATTACCTTACTCATGCACTCATGGTTTTGCCTGTGTGACTCATTTTTATATTTCAGGTTTTTCTCTTAACATTAGTTAGATGCTGCTTCTAATGCCCAGTTCTGAAAGTATGAGAAATCTGTGTTAGCTTAGCAGGCAAGCTAACCGGAGGATGATGGCTTTCATGTGGTAGGGTGGTTGAGGGGGACACTCCCTTCAAGGGGCCCTGCCCTGCTTTGTAAGAGAACTGTGAGCTTCCAGTGCCTGCCTGGGTTCACCAGCTTCCTTTGTCTGTTTATAAGATGGACTGTGCCTTCCTCTCTCCTCTTTCTTCAAAATATTCACATTTTCCTTTCCTCCAGGGACATTTGAAATTCTTGGCATACTTTAGCAGCAAACTTGTGCTGT